AAAAAAAAAAAAGAAAAAAGACTAGGAAAACGAAATTGTTTATTCATATAAACTACAGAACAATTGAATTATTAAAAAGTTTATATTTAATGATAAAATCTTATTGACACAAAAAAAAAAATTAACTTTACAGATAAGGTATTTATATTGCATTATATTTATCTAAGCGAAAACTGTTCTAAAAAAAACACCTTCAATAGAGGGTTTTTTTTTTTCTGCAGAGGTTTTTTGAGCAGTTATCAATAAAAGAATTTTAAAAATAACTTTTTTTTCCAACCACTGTCTTTCTTCTTGCTCCCTTCTTTCCTCTTTCTATCTGTTCAGCTCATTAACAGTCGCTATAATTTATAATTTTCGTAACTCATATAAAAATACTCTGCGTTGCTACTTAATTTATTTCTAAAAATTACCGATAAAAAGTGTTGCTTTCAATTTTTAAGCAATTCTCCAACATTGACCAACAATAATTTTTGCTCCTCTTTAAATCCCTGTTTTGAACAGACCTCTGCAAACGCATCTATTCAGTAATTATTATTCTGTGTCAACTTTTCCTTGCTTTAACTAATTCTTTTATTGTATAACTGTATTCAGTGTCTACAGTTAAAGAATCTTATAAAAGACTGAATATTACACATGCATATATAAGTGAAACAAGGCTGAATGTAGCAACAAATAAACTGTTCGAAAGCTTGTTTGATAAAGGTAAACTAAAAATAATGAAAAAGTTTTCTATATGACATACATTACTCCACAGAGGTCTGACCATAATTTTCGACTTAAATATTCAATTCTTTTCGCTGAATTCTGTCGCTATAAAAGAGTTCCATAACAATTGTAGTCAATATTTTTAAACTTGTTAACTTTTAACCTTTTGTAAGTATGTTCTTGCTTTAAGCATTTGGTGTATGGCCGCTATGCAACAACAAATTTATTGGTAAGCAGTAAGAATATCTATACATATGGTAGCTGTAATAACACTCTATCCACCGTCAAAATATTATTTCCAAAAAAATTTTTCTTTACTTTTGTTATGATCAAAATACTCATATTTACTTAAAAAGTAATAATCGACTAAATTTACCAACAGCTCAACTGTCTCTCACTAAAAACGTTTCACATGATACATCTGATTTCTCAAATTTTTCTAGAACTAAACACCTGGTTTAAGATGACTATACTACTACATTAAGATAAATACAATGGAACAATGTGTTCAATTCACAAACAAAAATCAGGGTTTCAAACAATCAGCCAAATATTCAAAGAATAATCATCTTTCAAAAAAAAAATCCCTACTTTATTTATTATCGTGATTACGGTTGACATCTAGCAAACACTTCGGGAACAAAAATAGAAAGTCAGAAATGTTACGAGTGATCACACCACGATCACTACCATCACAGAAGCGTTTACGTATGCGTCGCAGAAGAACTTACATTCCAAGATAAATTTTTAAAAAACTATAACATACTGTACAGCGGTATACCAGTACATTTATCCCACCTTTAAATTTTAACATCACCGTTAAAAAACTAAAACAATCGCCCAGAAGAAAGACAACATAAAATCACATTTCATATTATTTCCGTCAAGCATTACAGGGGGCTTCTAAAGCTGGCATGTAGAAATATTTACAAATTGTTTTCATATCAGTGACATCATCACGACTATTTGCAAAGTGATAATTGTTCCCAAACTCAAACGAATAAAAGCACAAAGTAGTAACACCACCAATTCAAATCAATGTTCCTCAAACTTTTTGACTCAAACTTCTTTCCCTTTCCCCCCAAACTACTTTTCATTACCTACTTATATTTCTTTTAGCCAAGAGAAAAAGAAAATCGCACACATAGAAGTCTACTGCAATAAAAATTCTTAGCCAGAAAAAAA